ATAATAATATATATTTAAAAAGTATAAACATATTCGGAGGACCCGCTTGTCGTTCAAATTCTTAAAATGTGGGCATCATACCATATTGATCTGTTACTTGCGGTGCATATACATACATACATTACATACATACATATGTACATGAAAATGTTGACTATAGAAACAATAACAATTTATTGAAACGCTCGACAGAAAAGCCTTTTTCGGAATATAAGAGAAAAGTCGTTTGTGTCGCCAGGTGTTGGGAAAGCCTGGGGACACACAACATTTTGATGTCAAGCGTTGACAAAGACTAAAAAATAATAAGTTTGAGTGTTTCTAAAGTCAATATTTTACGTACCTAAATACGGTTTGTATTACCGTTACGCAGTATATATTCTATATGTTTCGAAACACACACGTCCATCATTAATAAGCATCGTGCATTTGCGTAAGACGCAACAATACTATGACCCATCAACTTTACTTATTCATAAGTACTTCATAAGAACATATGTATGTTATTGTTATTTGGACACTCTTCATCAGAGGTCAAGGTGTTAGGCATACACGTTTTATAATTGGACTTATTACAACATATTATAACAGTAGATATAATAGTAATAATAATAAGAGTAATAATAATATAATAGTAATAATAATAATAATAATAATGACGCAACAATACTATGACCCATCAACTTTACTTATTCATAAGTACTTCATAAGAACATATGTATGTTATTGTTCAAATTTATTAAGCTTCGTTTGACGCTTTGTTTTTCATCAAGGCTTGAAGCTTTTTGGATATTTCATATACAGCTCTTGTCTGTAGCCATACGTCCATAAAAATTGGAAACAACGCAGTATATTCACTCATAGTGAATTTTTATTATGGTAAAGTGAAGTATTATATAGGAAGTTCATGTTTCAATTAAAGGCGTTGATAAAGGGACTTATATGGACACAGCAGACTGTCTAAGGTATTGATGACGAATCAAACCTATGTTATGCCATTGAAATATAGATGTTAAATATTGACAGACACCAGAATGCGTTATTGACTATCAACCATTGCAGTGGTTCAAGATGTTAGCGAGATATAAAAGGATACTGTTTACCGACTGAAACGTGTTATTGCAAATGCAAAATCAATGTTTGAATATGAACCGTGTGTGTGTGTGTGTGTATGTATATATATGTATATGTGTATATATATGTATATGTATATAAAATAGCCCTATAGGCCTACCATTTTCATGTTTTCATGCAAATTACACAACATAAGGAAAACAAAAACTTGCTATGGACCGTTTCTAGTTCAGTTCGTAGATGAAAGTTTAGTGAGTGTAATGTCCGAATTTTATGCCTGTTTTTAATTATTCAAGCCACGTTTTTAATTAAATTGCATTGTTTTGATTGTATTTCTTTGCTTCTCCTTGTTGGAGGTTATTTTGAATAAATAAATAAAAAAAAATTACTTGATGACTGCATGTAAATTATGAATAATGGAATACGAAAATCCGCATTTCTGAAAACTACACCGTAAGCCAATATTTGACTGAAAAGACTTGAACACATGACAAAATAGGATGTTAAGCTTTTATTCATCAATGGATTTAAAGACTTTTACACCATTGTGAATTTCAGTTTACGTTTCGTTAGTTATTAGAACATTGTTGAGGGACTGTTTTGTAATATAGTTTTAATAAAGAACAGTTTGGAACATAATGGTCGCTTTGTTATTTTTCCAAGTACCCGTATTGGTCTTCTTTGTTTTCAAAAAAAAAAAAAAAGTTCCACCGATAATATAAAGGAGCGGGACTGGGTAAAGATGCTTCAGGTATCCATTCGTAGAAGTCTTTATGAAGATAAGCCTATGTGATAGTGACGTTTGTTAAAGGGTCTAGACCAGGACATACATCCGCCTTCAAATTGACAAAGTTAAAAAATGTTAAATACAGGCACATTGTATACATAGAGACCAACTCGGAAAAGTCAAAAGTGTAATTTAAAAATAAGCTTAAGGAATGTATGTGTAAGTAATATGTTAATTATGAATAAAAATAATGCGAAATGTAAAGGAAGAATAGGAAAGAAACTCGGAAATAAATAAACTACTGAAATATTTTCCGAAATAAACAATATTAATCAATAAGCCTATGTCATTATTGTATTACATTTTTGTAGCAAATTTTGGACACTCTTCATCAGAGGTCAAGGTGTTAGGCATACACGTTTTATAATTGGACTTATTACAACATATTATAACAGTAGATATAATAGTAATAATAATAAGAGTAATAATAATATAATAGTAATAATAATAATAATAATAATAAGAGTAATAATAATAGTAATAATAATATTAATTATAATTATAATTACAGGAGGATAAGAGGGATAATAGAGAAGAAGGGACGATTTTGTAAAACGAAGGAGAATTGATAGAATAGATAGGAAAGCCTACACGTTTCATAATTGGACTTATTACAATATATTATAACAGTAGATATAATAATAATAATAATAATAATAATAATAATAATAATAGTTACTATTGTTATTACTACTACTATTACTTTATTAAGGTTATAGCCTTGTTATTTGTTAGGAAACTATACCAACTACAGTGTTTTATCGCATTAAAACGTTTGTGTTTTTGTTTTGATTCATTTTCTAAAACTTTTCATATGTTTTACAGATTCTAATACACCGTAATGATTTTATAATTTACTACCACACTGTGTTATTGTTTGTGATGCACCATTTAAAAAGTAAATAAATTAAATAATTTTGTTTCCATAGTAACAATCATTGGCCTTATGTGGCTATGGTGGATGTGTGATTGTTTCGTTTGGGTCGATCAGTGAACGAAAGCGTTTTTATTTTGTGTATTGTTATAAACAAGCGTATTTAATTTCGTACACAAAAGACCGATCCATGAACAAATTAATTGCTTTATTCTACAAGGGACTTCGTGCGGAATATTTCGATTGTAAAATGGGTGTTTCTTACTGCAACGTTTTACTTACTTCATCACACCAATTAATATTTTTGAGTGTAAAGCGGTATCTCGCTATCTGTGTTACGTACTTTCCAAAGAGAAAGATTTTGTCGGCGAACTTACACATCGAGGTTAAACCTGCACTGTAACCCAATCGGATGATGGAACAATTCTAGTAAAATGTGAAATTATGTTACAAACGATATGATCTGTTCAAACTTCCCTTGAATTAACACCATGGGTCAGATTTTACTGCCCATATGCCTACTGTCCGCACATGTTGCTGTTCTTGAGATATATGCCAGAATGTAAACGCATTATGTTAATGGCTGAGTTACTCAATATTATATTGATCGTGTGTTATAATGTAAACTGAAATAGCACGTTGCTGTAGGCATGTTGAATGCAACAATTTGGATAATACGCCTATCTTCCATTGTACGGTCCATCCAACATCTAGGCCTACTTTTGGATGCTTAAAAATGATTTTTTTTTTGTACATATAAAAAAAATATATCATTATTATACAATTATATTAATTCATGTATAGGCTATATTAAATTTTAAATTCTAAATTTACACATTTACTGAATAGGCCTACAGATGATATTTCATATTATAATAATCAACAGTTACTTAAACAATTCTCTTTGACAAAAAACAGTTAATAGTTAAGAATAAATATGTTTGTGGCATAACAAATGCTATTCCCAGTCTGCAGTTATTCACTATTGGACCGTTTTGCATTTGTCACTTCTCTCTCTCTCACCAAAACCTGTTCATAATTCGCTTTTTAATTTCATTCTCTTCATTGCGTCCGTTACATCTCATTATCATCATCATCATCTCGAAAGTTATGTAAACAATCTTGTATTCCGTTCAATTTTTGAGAAGCTATCCTATTCAGATACAACTTTCAGGTCCAAGGACATTGGAAACAAAAGCTTTTAGTACATCCCATTCAGCCTACTTTGACTGATCATAAATATGAATAATACTGTATTTATCACGTTTATCCAAAAGTGTATCTAGAATAACTACAATATAAAACTACTCTACTGCAATAAAAACTGCTCTATTATTGCGTACATAATTATTTATTATTTATTATTATCGATCAGCTGCCAAAATTTAATGAATATTTCAAAAAGTTCGCAACATCGTGTTGGTATCAATAATCACATTCGATATTGCAGCTATGGTGCTCAACTGAGGGCTGATGATAGCGCGAAGGAGATGTTACGCAGTTGCCATATGTAGCTCAAAAAAACAACGTAACGTCTTCATTTACCGTAGAACACATACGATGACCTCCATTTAATGAAATTCTATTCCAGAATAAAGAACATTAATAATAAAATGTTAATATATCAGGCCCGATATCAGGGAGCTATTATCATGTTTAAACAAAACAGGCCTACTCTTGCAAACTTTTGAGTTCGCACATGCGCACATTGTATGTATGTCACATTTGGGACATCCCCTACATTGATATTGGTTGTAGTCTCTGGGGCTGTAGCTGTTTGATTGTCATATTTGGCAACACTAAATAAACTTCGTGGATTTTGAGGTACGGTGGATCTGAAATCATTCAATACCATACCATGGACCTATTTTAGATCCACGCCCATACAATACCGGTATGGTGTTGAAAGAGCTTAAGTAAGACCTCCCTGGTTGAATCACAAAAAGTTAAGCACCACCATTTTTGTCTCACTGAGTCCTACTAAGTTTTGATGCCGAAAACTCTTGATGCTCCAACTTAATAGAATGAAAAATATTTCATGTATTTTTGTTAATATGATTTATTGCTTTCCTTTTTTAGAGTGCTTTAGCAATCCCTGTGTAAACGGGGCAACGTGTGTAGATGGTGAATATGGTTCGTACACATGTCAATGTGCAACGTACTGGATGGGTACAAATTGTGAAATACAAATAGGTAATGTACTAATTTACATACACGTGCATTTTTACCCGTTTAAAACTTTCCATTATTATTCAAAATAAATATCGTAACCATATTTTTAAACCTTTTTTACCAGCTGGTTATACTTGTGGCACTAATCACTACAGTTTGACGGGAACCGTAAGCAGCCCAAATTACCCGAACAATTACAACAACAGAGATCGTTGTCTGTACCTAATACGGATACATGGAGGCAATACCATTGAATTGACCTTCACTAGCTTTGATACAGAAATGTTAAAAGATGTTTTACTGATTGGCACCGGTCCTACATCAGGGATATCACAAGTTAATATGCTGATGGGTAACCTCACAGTGCTTACTTATACATATAATGCCAATCAACTTTGGTTGCAATTTAGTACAGACCGCACAATTCACAGACCGGGCTGGAGCTTTACTTATAGTGCAGGTACAGTAAAACATTACTTTTAATTATTTATGCATTGGATTAAGTTATTATTGGTATATCTTATACCAATATATATTGGTATATATAAAAGGATTACCTTGTTTTGCATAATCAAATCAAATTTATTGGAACATACGCTTTTAGTACAGCAGCATCATGTCCACATGACCGTGAATCCATAACAAAATTAAAGTTTAAATGGATACTTAATTAAATCTAAATTACTCAAAAATTACCCAAAAGAATAATAACTCATAAAAGTATATCACATAAATATAAATATAAAAGTACTCTGTTGTAAGGGTGGTCCATAGTCTAGAATCAAGGCATTAACTTTCAATTAAACACATCAAAATACAGTTCTGCACCCTCCAATTCAAGACCACTTTTGGAACCTGAGCATTTGGGGTCGTCTCTGGTTTTGGTCTCCAATTAGAGAGTTAACTTTCTGTTAAAAGATTGAATTAGATGGGTCTCAAAATTAGAGGTGTTTTGAATTAGAGGGTGCACTTTAATTCAGTTTTCACTAATTTACAATTATTTTTCACTATAATAATGACTAAATGGATTACTAGCCAGTTTAAAGGAGTATGTAAAAAAAAAAGTTTTATCTATACAACATATTCTAACGATTTTACACAAGTATGAGGTGTTGATTGGTGGAGCTGGCTTGACCCTAACCATAACCTTCAATATTACTTACAGGGGCATAGGCTAGTTTTGACCGGGGGAAGGGGGCTGTGAATATTGAGAATGCGGAACTAATTACCTATTCCAATGAAAACTAATTTGCTGCCATGTGGGTGGGGGAGGCCCACACTCCCCTGCCTACTCCTATGGCTTAATACATTACTGTGTGGCATGTCAAAGCAATAGCTATTTAACTTTTATATGCCTGTTAAATAGTGAACATTTTTTTCTGTTTAAATTTCCAATTTAAAGCTAATAATATATGCAAAGCTATAGTTAACCTGTAATAATTGCTGTTATTAATTTTTTATCCTGTCTAGATGGTGATGACTGTTTTAATTCTCCCTGTGAGAACGGCGCCACCTGTGTGGATGGACTCCGTCAGTACACCTGCATTTGTGCTCCTGGGTACAGTGGTACCAACTGTGAAAATAGTAAGTACTAAAAAGAAAATATAAAAGAAGAAAAAATAAAGCAAGAATGTGTAAAACCATTCTTTATGTGGATATCTTACTATACTATTATTGGTTATTCATTATTCTTTACCAATGTCTTGTTATTTAGTAAGCATCATAACATATTGTACTGTATTTTGTTTATTTTATATTTAAAACATTTTTACCCTGGATATATTTTCAGGCAGATGTTAATACATGTTTTTAACAATGGTTCTACACAATGATTACAATGAAAATAAAGACAGTCCATAAAAAAGAATATATTGTTTTTTTAAATTTAATATTTTAAGATTGACATTGTCCTCTGCATTTTAAAAAATTATTTTTTATCATCATTATCACCTTTATTGCCCTCATGATAATTTTCATCATCATCCTTGTCAACTTCATCCTCCTCATTGTCATAATTACCATCATCATCCTTACCCTCATCATTATTCTTATTGCAATCATCATAATTATTATCATCATAATCTTCATCATTACCATCATCATTATCACCATTATAATTGTCATAATCATTCTAATCAACACCATCCTCCTCATCATCATTATCATCATTACTCCCAATGCCATCATCATTATCACCATTATAATTGTCATAATCATTCTAATTAACATTATCCTCCTATTATCTTCATCATCATTATCATCATTACTCCCAATGCCATCATCATTATCACCATTATGTCATAATCATTCTAATCAGCACCATCCTCCTCCTCCTCATCATCATCGTTACCCCAATGCTATCATCATCATCACCATTATAATTGCCATAATCATTCTAATTAACATCATCCTCCTATTATCCTCCTCATGATCATCATCGTTACCCCAATGCTATCATCATCATCACCATTATAATTGTCATAATCATTCTAATAAACATTATCCTCCTATTATCTTCATCATCATTATCATCATTACTCCCAATGCCATCATCATTATCACCATTATGTCATAATCATTCTAATCAACACCATGCTCCTCCTCATCATCATCGTTACCCCAATGCTATCATCATCATCACCATTATAATTGCCATAATCATTCTAATTAACATCATCCTCCTCATTATCCTTATCATCCTCATCAGCAGCAGGATTATTCCCATCAACATCATTGAATATTCTAACATTCATTCTATTCATTGAACATAGCAATATTTCTTTCATAAATATTTGATGTCTTCCCTTCTGTTTACAACCTCCCACAATGACTGGCAAAATTAAAATTGCATGTTATATATGAGATATGTAACTATGATCGTCGTAGTAGAATTAATACATGTTTGCCCAGATCAATCACTCGTTAGCGATGCATCCATCATTAGCGCAGATCAGACACCCGTTAGAATTGCATCCACTGACTGCAAATACTATACGATGAGCTTTGTTTGCAAATTAACACTTGGTGGCTACACTCTCTGAATAAAAGTGAATATATCATTAAATTTAAAGCAGTTACTTCCACGATAATATTACAGTATTTTGGTGTAAAGTTTCAGAATATATGCCCGGGGATGTTGTGGTTTATTAAGTGGTATAAATTGTGCATGTCACTGCTTTCTTGTATTGTTTATCTGACAGCACACCCTGTCTGAATAGCGTGTATTAAATACAAAATCATTGCTTAGCGATTTCATGGGACACCAGACACAACACAATAGCTGAACAATGGCGGCTGTCGCCTACGTCAGGCTTTGTACTGTCCCAGTAATCAAGGGTTGGATTCAAGGAATGTTGCGTGTTATTTTATGACTTGATTGATGTTTGTCACCATCAGTAAATCATAAGTAGACATTCCACTAATACACTTTGGGTGTAAATATTAATGGTTACGTTTGTCCTGTACTTACAGAAATAATAATAATTAGTAATAATATTAATAATTGCAGCTGCACGCAGGGTTCCCGGAACGCCGCCCTCAACGGCGAGTGCGAAGCACAACTCAGGGTCAAAAGTGGAATGTGAAATTTGGATATGGTTTTGTAGTCAGATTTGCGAGAAAAACTAAAGCTACCCGTATTTCTCGACTGAGACGTCAGTGGGAGCTGTAATTTGTATGGCAAGGAGATTGAGCAACCCTTCATTCATATTAAGGGAATTTACGCCCAGAAACTTTGTAGTTATTAATATTTTGGTTATAATAGAAAATATTCATTTTTTGGTGACGTCACACTCACATTAGTTAGCATGCATACGTCATAAGCTAGATACGTCACCTTTTCCTGGTAAGGCAAACTTTCCCGGCGTGCTTTTATAGATAAACAAACATCACTGCTTTGCACATGGATGCCTTTGCCCAAGCCAGGGCTAAGAGCCACATTGTTAGCATTGTATAATATTTTAAATAAGGTACCTCTGCAAATGAATTATTCTTAGTTATTTTTTTTTCTTATTTTAATTTATTTCTTCCGAAAGTGTACTTTCTATCACATTCCACTGTCTTAGTTAGGCCTAGTCTTATGCTTCATCGTCCCCCGCTACACAGTATCAGCAGCCCCTCCCCCATACAGTACAGGACGTTTGCTAGGTAACAACGTGATTGCACCTTCCTCCCCAGGTGTTCATGTAACATTGACATAATTGTTAGCTAACCAGTTGTGTGTATTTCTTTGTGAAAATGAGTACTGCGGCGTACTCATTTTCACAAAGCATTTGCATCCCCTCTTGGAAAGAGGGATTCGAAATAATTGTCTCCATATCTTCGCTAATTAAATTAATCACCGTAATTTAGCTTACACTTATGAATTTAGGGAGCACTTAAAATATGAAATAATCATTTCACTACCCGACAAACTCCGAACTTTATTCATTCGTTAGGCCAACATAATAGTTTCATATTGCTGTACTATATACTCCAACATCACTGGCGCATGGTAACAACCAACTGACTGCAGACCATTTCTGGTCACACATTACTCTCCATAACACAGCACCCCCTAGTTCCGTCACCTCTGGATATACATGTAGTGCATGTGAATGTATCTATGTGCTTTAGGCCTACTGTTATCATAGACATCCCTCTAATACTTTTGGGTGTAAATATTACTGGTTCATATGGCCTGTACTTACAGAAATAATAATTATTAGTAATAATAATAATATTAATCAATTCAGCTTGATAACCATGTAGTGCATGTGAATGTATCTATGTGCTTTAGGCCTACAGTTAAAAAAAAGGATTAACAGTAGATTAGAAAAATGAACAAAGCGCGAAAGTCAAAAAGTAAGATCAAAGGCTTCCGAGGGAGTAAATATTAGCTTAGGAAATCGCGGATGAGCTCTTCAATGCAATGTGCTTTGTTCTTATATTATTGTTGTTTTTATTACCTCTACACAAGCATATTGGAGATTGCATAATGATTGTATCTATGCAAGTTAAAATAGAAATGAATATTACCTTACTTTTTGCATTCAAAAAAATAACTGAATTCTTTCTTGCTTTACAAGATCTCGTCATCCTTTCATCTTTAGAATATTTTGTAATATTGATTAAAAAAAAAATTAATATTGATTTGAATTTCCTGTGCTTTGAACGTTTGAATTATAGTCGCGGTAATTGTTTTGTTCTGATTATAGTACAGAATTTAATGGCCTATCATATATTTCATTTTACTTTACTTCATCAACTTTAGAATAAAAATCTTGCAATGCATGATGGTTGGTAACTATGTTATAACTTTTTTTTGCAGATGATAATGAATGCTTAAGCAACCCTTGTTTGAATGCTGGTGTGTGTATAGATGACGTAAACTTGTTTATCTGCCAATGTGTACCAGGTTATACCGGAACTCTCTGCCAAACAAGTGAGTATGAAAACAGTAAATTTTTTCAATATTTGGGTCAAAGATACAGAGATTATATCCAATTTCATTCATATTATGCAGAAAAACACATTTTTCGTAAAAATGAAAAAAAAAATGAATTTGTGTCATGGGAGGGTGTATGCTTGGCGATTTTGTAGAGGCATTATATTTGTTTTGGTTTGAGGGGTAATTTAATAGTTTGCATTAAACATGTGAATCCTCTCTTTGCTTTGCTTCCAAGCCTTGCAGACCTCATTACATTTTCCCACCGTCCTCTCCTGCTTCCTCCATATTTATCACTATTAAATTGTTTTTCTTCATTAAATAAAATCCAATCCAGTGTTTGCTTTCTTTTTTTTGTCTTGTACTCGCCTCCTGCGACATAAATAAGTTTTATTTCTCACTAGTAGCTTTCTATCCACATTCTCGACCCCTCTTTAGTTGAATTGTTACTGATGATATACTGGTGATGATGAAATTGGTTTTAACCTGCATTATAAGTACAATTAAAACCAGATACTGACCCGGTTTGAACCAATTTCTTCAGCACAAGAAGTATGAAAAATTTCTCTTGGCCAGCCACTCTCAGCTCAATCATTGTATTACATGTGATATTGATAATCCTTGGTTTTGACAGTTTTGTATTAGAATTCTCTTATCAATTGTGAATTGCGCTTAACAAGCAGGTGTTTTAAATGTTTACTCATTCATCTGTTTAAATATTATCAACGAGAATAAATAAGTATTTACATACAAAACAAAGAAGAAGGACAAAAAGGAAGTGAGGAATAATATACATAATGCTGTCTGACATTCTTTTGATGTGAAATGAGCAATATAACAAAGTTATCCTTATGGCACTCCTGTCTCTTAT